GCAGGAGGATTGCAAGCTTGGGCCTCGTGTGGCCTGTACTGAGAGATCCTGTCTCACAAAAGGAAAGGGATGGTGGTGCTCTGGGCTTTGGCTTGCTGGTGATCGGTGAGCAGAGTTACCTGGCACGCGCTTCCCCTGTGATGTGCCGCCGTCCCGAAGGCCCAAAAGTAACAGGGCCAGTGAACGACAGACTGAAACTGCTCCAACTGAGCCTTACCCAACCTCTTTCTGCATCCCTGGGGATAACTGTAAGTGCCCCCTTTCAGCTGTTAAATGACGATTTCCCTAGCAAGCCACCTTTAGATTCTGGCATAAATCCGCCTTGACCCAGATGTAACTTCCTTCCTTTTTTTGAAACACTGTCTCTTCATGTATCCCAGGTTGACCCTGAACTTGCTACATAACCTTTGAGGTCTGAGCCTCCTGCTGCCTGCACATCCCAGATGCTGGGATTATAGGCGTGCTCCACTATGCCCAGTGTCTGGGGTGCTGGGATTGGACCCGGAGCTTCAGGAACAGCAGGCAAGCAGGCTCTCTCCTAACTGAGCCACTCTCCCAGCCCAGACAGATCTTCTCTGTAGTTAGGACACCCTGGACAATCAGGTTTCGTTCCTCTTCCGGAGTGCAGCTGATCTGCACATTTCTTAGTCCGTCCTTGTGTGGTTCTGGAATCAAGGTTACACGGGTGTCCCAGAACACGACAGGGAGCAGTCCCTTTCCCTATTTCTGGAAGAGTTCATAACAGTTTAGAGTAATCACTTCCTAGGAAGCTTTGTAGGACTTTTTTTTTTTTTTAAATAGTTGCCTCATTTTCTTTTTTCTCTCTCTATCTTTAAAAATTATTTATTTTTATGTGCATTGTGTTTTTTCTGCATGTCTGTCTGTGTGATCCCCTAGAACTAGAGTTACGGACAGTTGTAAGCTGCCATGTGGGTGCTGGAATTGAACCTGGGTCCTCTGGAAGAGCAGCCAGTGCCCTGGCATTGTTCTTATGTGTATTTATATATGTAAAATGCAACAAACGTGCCCCAGAGTGCATGGACTTGAAATGTTCAGTCGCATGAACATTTGGGCAATAAATCAATAGATAAACACGACTGGCCCTCCCAGGTCACGGCAGGAGCCATCACCAGAGTGTAGGAACCTTTGAGGTGCCTGACTTCACAGCCACTCCCCGCCGCAGGAGGGACTAGTGTCTAGGTTTTCAGGGTGTTCCCGAACTTGTTTTTCTTTGGAAATTTACCACTTAATTATTCGGTCCTTATGGTACAACTGTTTTTAATTTCAGGGAAATGGAATGACAGAGTCTGAACTTTGTCATTTCAATGCCAGATTGTGTTGTAGGCAGCTATGTATGTTAAGTACTGTGGACCGTAACTTATCTACTGGTACAGGGTTTTTTCCACGTGGTAATAACATGAACAATGCTCCCACACTCACGCGATTGCTTACTCTTTCTTCTGTTTTTTTTTTGTTGTTGTTGTTGTTGTTTTTGAGAAGGTCTCGTGCAGTCCAGGCTGGCCTGAATCTCCTTGTGTAGCCGAGGATGATCTTAGGTCTACCCTGGTGACCTCACTTCCGAGTGCTGGGATCACAGGTGTGTACAATGACGCAGGGTTTATGCAGCACTGGAATGGAGCTCCCTCCCGGCTTCATGCACGTTAGCACGAACTCTCCCAACAGAGCTACATCCTCAGCTGGGTGTGGCGGCTCACACCTGCAATCCCAGCCCTCAGGAGGCAGAGGTAGGATGACTGCCATGATTCTGAGGCCAGCGTAGGCTGCAGAGTAAGGCCTTGTCTCAAAAAGTGGGGAGGGGTGGTGTTTGAGAGATGGCTCAGTGAAGACCACTCTCGGAGAGGACTCAAGAGTTTGGTTTGCAGGACCCGAATCAGGCAGCTAAGAACTACAACTCCAGTTCCAGGGCCTGAGCCTCTGGTTTCCACGTGCACAGACAGACAGACAGGCAGGCAGGCAGACAGACAGACACACACACACATTTAAAGCAAACATCTTTTTTCTATTTCACGATTTACCACCTCTTTCTATTATTTCTTTGAGGGAAGTGTTTATCGCTCAGTTTGTTAATGGTTACAGGGTCGTCCAGGCTTTTGATTCCTACTTGAATCAGGAATGCCAGGAGTCTGCCCATTTCACCCATGTTTTCAGACGACTGCCCTCCACTTGATCACGTCAGGGTCCTTCTGGCTTCACAGCTCTGCTGCTGGGTGAACTGTCTCTGCGCTCCTGGTGCCTCTGGATGATCTCCCTCGCTGTCAGTCAGTTTTTCCAGTGGCTGCTCAGTTTAATCTTTCAGGGTTGTTGGTTTTTTTTTTGTGTGTGTAAAAAATATTTTCTAGCCGGGCGGTGGTGGCACACGCCTTTAATCCCAGCACTCGGGAGGCAGAGCCAGGCGGATCTCTGTGAGTTCGAGGCCAGCCTGGGCTACCAAGTGAGTCCCAGGAAAGGCACAAAGCTACACAGAGAAACCCTGTCTCGAAAAACCAAAAAAAAAAAAAAAAAAATTTTCTAATGCATCTTTGAGTTATCATTCCTTGATTTCTGCTTTTTTTTAAAAAGTGTGTGTGTGTGTGTGTGTGTGTGTGTGTGTGTGTGTGTGTGTGTGTGTGTGTGTTTGCACAGCTACTTGGGGGGACTGGTTATAGGCACTGTGAGTTGCCAGAAGTGGATGCTGAGAATCAAACTTGAGTCCTCTGGAATGGCAGCATGGGCACTTAACGGCTGAGCCGTCTCTCCTGCCCTGATTTCTGCCTTTTATCATCATTTTTTTTTCTTGAGCTTTCTTTGAGTTTGCTCTATTTATTCTCACACACACACACACACACACACACACACACACACACACACACACACCCCAGCTCTTAGGCTGACTGTTTCCTCACTAACTTCAGCCCTCTCCTTCTCTAATGGAAGCACCAGTGTTGTGCCTCCCCGGCTGGATCAGTCCCCTGGATGCCAGGGGTTTTTAGATACATCTGATTATCACTCAGTTCCAAGTATTTTAAGTTTGCATTTCACAGGGGAGGCAGCTCAGGGGCTGAGCACTTATGTAGCACGTAGAAAGTTTGATCTCTAGCACTATTTTAAAAAAGAAAAAGGAATTGGGGCCAGGGAGACGGCTCGGCGGGTAAATGCACTACCTGCATGTATCAGGGTTCTCTAGAGGAACAGAACTCGTCGAGTGTATATATATATACACACAAAGGGGTTTGTTAGAGTAGCTTACCGACTGTGGCCCAGCAAGTCAGGGGACCCTCTAGGGCATCTTGGGTTACCACGTCTTGTGATTAAAGTCAATGGGAAACTACAACACAATCCAGGCAGGAGGACAAAGGGCCCAGATGCTTCAGGCTGTACAAGCCTGACAACCAGAGTTCAATTCCCAGAACCCACATAACAAGCTAATGTGGCCAGGAGGCGGTGGTGCACGCCTTTACTCCCAGCACTCAGGAGGCAGAGGCAGGCGGATCTCTGAGTTTGAGGCCAGCCTGGTCTACAGAACAGCCAAGGCTACAGAAAGAATACCTGTCCCCAGAAAACAAAAGCTAAAGTGTTGGGTGTGACGGCCCACAACTTTAATCCCAGTACTGGAGAAGCACAGGCAGGCAGATCTCCATGACTGGGGTCAGCTTGGTCTACCTAGCAAGTACCAGGCGATCCCCAGGCTACCAAGGCTACTTAGTGAGACCCTGTCTAAAAAAAACTGAAAAACAAAGCAAATAAACAAACAAACAAGAACTGGATGTGGTAGTGCTCGTCTGCATCCTAGGAGATGGAGGAAGAAGATGGGAGAATCAGCTAGAAGCTGGAGGGCCAGCTAGCCTGGAGTAAGCTGCACAACAATGGAGACCCCCACCTCAGCGAGCTGAGGGTGAGAACTGACTCCTGGAAGCCGCCCTTTGACTTCCACGTTTGTGCTGTGGCATGCACGTACACACGGAGGAATGCATGCACCCTAAATAAATAAGGAAACAATAACAAAAATTTTCAGTTTGATTCCCCCTTTGGCTTATAAATTATCTGGAAATGTGACACACACCTGTAACTCATACTCGGGAGGTGAACTGAGGAGGATGAGGTCAAGGCCAATCTTGGCTACACAGAGTTCAAGAGCTGGGCTACAGGAGACCCGGTCACAAAGAAGCAAGCAAGCAAACATTTCAAATGTCTACTGTCACTGTGACGAGGAAAGCTATCTCTGAACTCATCTCACTCGGGGCCTGGACTGCGCAGGTCCTCCAGTGCTCTAGGTCTGTTTCTTACGTTCCCGCAGACTCTTGCTCACCAGTCTTTGTGACTTCCCAGTTACCTGATCTGAGTCTGTGGGCTGCTTTCCTGAGGTCTGGCTTCCCAGCCTCTTCTGCCGTGAGGTAGAAGCACAGCCTGGGAGTCCCCCTCTCTCCCAGGCCTCTTCAGGAGGTCTGCCAAAGGCAGGCTCAGAACTGCTGTCCCGCCAAGATCCGCTATTAGGGTGATCTATCTGAAGCTGTCCCTCTGCAGATCCAAACACTGAGTAACAATGGCTCATGCTCCACTGCTGGCTGCATAAGTGTTCTCCCCGCTGCCTGATGTTTACCTCTCCAGCGCAGGAGCTAGCCCAGTACATGTTTCCGTGCCTCCCATCTCCACCTCTCAGCAAGGGGAGGCGGCCTTGGCAATTTTCCCAATTTCACATGAGCCCAGCAATGTGCTAATAATTATATTTCATTCAAGAAAGAAAAATGTGGAGTGAGCACTGTTCCGCATGGAGGGGAGAAGGTCCTAGAAGTAGCCAGGCCAGCTGCTGGATGGTCAACTCTCAGGATGATGACTTTTCCCAAGAAGGAGACGAAGAGTCACAGACCCGGCTGTCGGAAGCTCACACACTAGGAAAGCAGGCCAGGCCTTCAGTCACATCCGGACGGGGCTCCCTACCTTTTCCATCTGTCCTGCCGGCCTCTAGAGATGGGTCTGGGCCCTGTGATCACTAGGGTCCTTACCTGGTGCAAGGGGATGACAAGGAAGGCGCCCCCGCCGGCGCATTCAGTGACCACAGCGATGAAATGGGGGTTCACGGCACAGAAGTGGTTGTCATGGACGCTGCGTGTGATGGGCACCGAGTCGTAGCAGTTCTCTTTGCTGGCGGGCTTGCCGTAGACATGCCGGAACTTGGAGCTGCGGTACTGGGGGTGCCATGACATCTGCAGGGGACGGAGGGACCAACGGTGTGAGGCTACTTAACCGGTACAGCCGGGGCAGTGGTCAGGTCTCATTGCTGGGTCTTTTTGGAGGCAAGGTCTCAGTACGTAGACCAGGCTGGCCTGGAACTCACTGTGTAGGCCAGGCTGGCCTTGAACTCATGATTGTTTTGCCTTAACCTCTTGAGTGCTAGGATTATAGTTTGTGCCACCGAGCCTGGTGACAGTGGCCAATTCTGCAAAGGTAGTGGTCTACTGTGAAGGACAGCCAGGTGAGCAGACTATCACTGTGGTTACAGAGGAGGCTGTGAGTCATTATTATTGACCTGTTTGCTGATATATTAAGACTTTTCAGTTTTTTCAAGTATGAACCCCCCAAAGCAGAGGGACCACAGAATATTCGCTACAGCCCCCACCCCCAACTCTTCTCACCAGACAAGCTCTCCTGCCAACTAAATGAGAACCAGTGTGCTCTCTGTAGCCAGCCAGTCTGGCCTCCAGTTCCCACTTTGCCTCACTACGATGGACAAATGACTTAACCCTTGAGTCTCCATTTTCTTGTCTATAAAATGGGATGGCATGCTGGGCGGTGGTGGCGCACGCCTTTAATCCCAGCACTCGGGAGGCAGAGCCAGGTGGATCCCTTGTGAGTTCGAGGCCAGCCTGGGCTACAGAGTGAGTTCCAGGAAAGATGCCAAAACTATACAGAGAAACCCTGTCTCGAAAAGCCAACCAAAAAAAAGGGACGACACAAGGACCTGCCTCACAGACTTGTGCCTCCCCTCTGGAAAGGGAGCTGCTGGCCTCCATGGATGAAACCACCCAGTGCAGAGCAAAGTGACTGCCAATACCCAGCTGCCCCACCCGGCCCTTATTTCCACTGTCAAGGTTTGTCCAGACCTTTGAAATGGGGGAGAGGTTACAGAAGCGGGGGGAGGACGGCATCCAGTCAGGTCAGGCCCTCTGCGTGCAGCACGGGAGTGTCTGTATTGCGTGACCGACCCTGTGCACACCTGGGCATGAGCCCTGCGTTCACCAGGGAGCTCCTGGGGCTCTGGCCTTGGCCCAGGTGTGCTCAAGGACCCCCGCTGCCTTCACGGGTGGCTTTGATGACTCAGCAGTTTCACTTCCCCTGCTGGCAGGCATTAGGCAGGGCCTACATCCCTCCACAGCAGCCTTCTCGGGACTCTGCTGCCATCCTGTGTGTGCCCAGTGGCTGGATGCCATGGGATCAGGCTGGGGGCTGGAAATCTCCACCCTGAAAAGGCTTTAGTTGACTCTAGGTGAAACACCCTCCCTACGGGGGGGGGGGGGGGTAATTTCCCAACGTTTGGCTGTGGAATGGGGGGCTGCCTCATCCCCTACAGCCCTCCTGAGAGGAAGGCGGGGAGTACCATCCCCATTGGAGGATGGTAATTGGAGGTGCAGGGGAAGCCATGTGACTGGTACGAGCAGCAACTGTGGGAAGTCAAAGCCAAATGTCTTCCCGTGATGTGTGCATGTGCACCTGTGTGGGTGATGTTGCTGGGGGGCGGGGTGGGAATGTGGGAGTGAACCACAGATCTTCCTTCCTGCTCTCCAAGGCCCCTTCTTCACCCAGCCCTGCAGGTAGCTGAAATGGAACCCAAGTTGGGAGGGGCACAAATCATCCAATGGAGTACACAGTCCCTAGGGCCACTGTAGGTGGCCTCATGGTGAGGAGGACTTTACCTGATTCGGTTTGAGGACGGGTGGGCTGAGCTGGAGTCTGCTATTGCCAGAGACATTCCACATCTGCTCTCTCAGGTTTTTCTTTTGTTTCTTCCTCTTAAAATCTGACCTTGTGGGCACAGAGGCCGCTCCCTGTAAGTGCTTTGTGGGAGGGTCTGGACCACCACTTTCTATCATAGCCTGGTTATTAGAGGGAGATTGGAAGGGCAAGACAGGTGTGCTGGCACCCACCAAATCCCAGCACTCGGGTCAAGAGTTTAAAGTCGGCTCCAGCTACACAGGGAATTCAAGGCCAGCCTGAGGTACACAGCAAATTCAAAGCTACCCTGGGCTACTCAACAAGACTCTGTCTCACAAAACCCAAGCAAGCCAAACTACTTTATTTGAAAGTGATCCTCAAAGATCAAGAATTAACACAATAAAACATGATCAGGGGTGCACCCACACTCAGACTAAAACCCTTGGCTTGCTACCCAACAGAGTGCATCATGACCCTGACCTTGACCTCAACCCTGCTGAGAAATCTCTCCCGTGGAGGTCAGAGACCATTTGTTGGCAGACGGTTCTCTGTTTCCACCTTGTTGAGGCAGGTGTTGCTTCTACCGTGATGCCACAGTGGTCCTCTGCATGCCACAGTGGCCCTCGAGCTTCCAGTTGATTTTCCTGTCTTTGTGCCCCATTCCACCGAGGAAGCGCTGGCATTACAGATGTGCCCTACAGCATCTGGCTTTTCACATGGGTTCCATCATTGAACTCAAGCCTTCAGACTTTCAAGGTAAGCCATTTCAGTGCTTTGCTAAGTCTCTTTTTAATGCACCCAGAATTCCTAGTGAGAGCCTCATCCACACCAGATGAGGTGGGACAGCTGACTCGGGGAGCCAATCAGAGAGCCCCACGTGGCCCTCTTGAGGTCACGGCTATGTACCAACACCTCTGCCCTTTCTCGTGGTATCTTCTTGCCTCACAAGGAAGAAGAAACCACAGGTCCCGGCACCTTCTGGTAAAGGTTTTCTCAACACAGAGTCTCTCAATCTGAGGCCACGCCCTGACTGAAACCACAACTGCTTGTCACGAGGCATTTTTTAATTCGGCGTTCTCCAGCCAGCAATGATCTCAAGTGTGTGTCACAGAGACTCAGGCAACTAGGACCTCAGGGTCCTGTCCCCCCACCCCCCACCATTTCAAAGTAAGAAGAGGCCTGGTGGTTCCTCAGGAGAGTGACCAGCTGTGCCCGTCTTCCAGGGACCATGGATGGCTCCCTGGACAAGGGGTTTTTGTGCTATAACTAAGAAGCCAATGCCGGGCGGTGGTAGCGTACGCCTTTAATCCCAGCACTCGGGAGGCAGAGGCAGGTGGATCTCTGTGAGTTCGAGGCCAGCCTGGTCTCCAAAGCGAGTTCCAGGAAAGGCGCAAAGCTACACAGAGAAACCCTGTCTCAAAAAACAAAAAACAAAACAACAAAAAAAAACAAAACAGAAAAAAAAAAAAAGCCAAAGTAGAGGAGGATTTCAGGTTCAAGACCAGCCTGGGAAATGTAGTAAGAGTCTGTTTCAAAATAAAAACTTTAAAACAGGAGCTGGGCGTGGTGGCTTGACATCTGGATCCCAACACTGGGGAGGCTCGGGGACGACTGTCACAATTTTGAGGCTAGCCTGGACTCCACAGTGAGATCCCATCTCAGGAAACGCACACAGTGATGACGGGTTTGAGGGTACAGCTTAGTGGCAGGACACTTACCGGTCATGCACAAGGCCCTGGCTTTAATGTCTAGGACTGGAAGGAAAAAAAAAAACCAACCAAACAAAACCCCCAAACCTGAGGTTGTCCCAGACAGACCGGGACAAGCTGCTCACTCTGCCATAGGTGATGGCTTAAGTTCCTGGGAGCCTGACTTTGACAACTTGCCCATGAAAGAGAAAGCTATGGAAATGAGCAAGCCCAGCATCCTGAACCAGAGATCAGAACATTCCAAAGCAGAAAGTTCCAGAAGGTTTGTAAAGAGAGGTGACTATGATTTCATTCAGTCACCAACCTCTCCCCAGGGCTGGCTCAGGGCTCACTTAGTGCCCAGGGCTTGAGGGCAAGGAAGGAATATCTGGGTCACGGGTCTCGGAGGTCACTGCTCGCCGAGGTCACCCTTTTCCTCTGGAAGTGCCAAGTGTGGGAAGAGAAATTACGGTGAATTTGGGGGCTGATAACAGGGTTGGCAGTGGCTGGTGACTCAGAACACAGGGATCGACTGAATCCCACCACTTGCTGGACAGACAGGCTCAAGCCCGTAATCCCAGCACTTGGAAGGATGAGGAGACAGGGGCGCAAGTTCAAGGCCTGCCTGGGCTATAGAATCACCTCCCCTCCATAAAAGTAAGCAAGCAAATCAACAAAAAACATCTCCCAGTACACCGTCAGGTCCCCAGAAGATACCTGTGTGCATTTAGTGAAACTTACAGGTGCTGGGACACAGTGGCTCATGGCAGAGCCTCCAAAGTGATATCACCAGGGAGCTTGCCAAAACTGTACATTCTTGGGCCCCACCCCACCCCACCCCACCCTGATAGAATCTGGAACCCCAGGGTACAGGGCAGAACCTGCTGTATATTAATTAGCCTTCCCCATGACTCATGCTCTGTAGTCGAGTCTGAGGCTCAAAGGTATAACGGAGCCCTGAAAGCACGGATCCATCTCAGCATCATAGGAGGTAAAAAAGCAGCCATTACTCGTAAAAGAGGCCTTGCCAAAACACGGAACCCAACGCCAACCAAGTCACTGTTACTCTGCACACCAAACTGGGCGAAAAGTGTTCACCAGGAGGCAACTGGCAAGCTCTAGAATACAGGAAATTTTGTGTGTTGATTTTTTGTAGTTCTAACAACTCAGAATGAACCAAAGAGCCGAAACAAAGGGCTAAAACTATAAAACACGTAGAAAAACTAAAGACTAAACTAGATTCAAGATACTAGAGTTGGTGGTGACCAAAAGCAGTCCACAAGAGAAAAACCAGACAAGTTGGACTTAATGACTAAATGACAATGTAAAACTTTCATGTAACAAGAACATACCGGTAGGGTACAAGGCAGCCTGAAGAGTGGGGAGCTACCTGGGAGGTGTATTTGGAAAAGGATTAACAGATGAAACAGAAGAAACAGAATCCCTCAAACCCAACAAGAAACAGGACAGAAAGGCCACCTGGCTTCATGACAAATGCCTGTAATTCCAGCACTAAGGAGGCTAAGGCAGGGGGATTGCTGTGAGCTGAGTTCAACCTGGACTACAGAGCGAGACCCTGTCTCAAC